TCCCTCCCCACCCTTGTAACCATCAAAGAATGTTTTCTTCTGTGTTTAAACCTTTTCTTGAGTTCTTGGTCTTTGTAACTTAACCACGTGGGTAAGTGAGGAGTAGGTATATTTATTATTTACTGTGTTTTCAAAAGAGCTTCAGGCACAGAGGGAATTACAAGAAATAACCATGGGAGAGAGTCTTACCCCTTGAGGAACTTCCAGTCTTTTGAAAGACGGAATGTAATATGAAAAAATTGATTAATAGTAGTTTATTTTCTAAGATAGTTTACAAAGAAACGCCTAGCGAAATACCTCCGAAAATCAACCAGTGAAAACCCTATGGGTCACAATGGTCTGATCCGCAACGCTTCATGGGAATGGTACAGGACCTGGCAGTGTTTCATTCAGTAGTGCATGGGGTCTCCATGGGTTGGGGGCCAACTTGCAGGCAGTTAACAACAACATGTTTCTAAAGTGTTTAACAGATTTCAAGGCTTCTTCATCAATAAATTAATGTGGTATTTAAAAACAAAAAACAAAAAACAAACACACAGCAACCCTGGTAGAAATGTGGCCTGAGAGAGAAGAAGCAGCTTTGTCCCGTGGCAAGATCAGCTGCATAATGGCCCAATACAAAATGAAAATGTGTGGACCCTTGTTCAAAACTATTAAGAATTTCAAGACAGTGACAGCACAGCATTAAATCAAGCATGGTACCCTTCTAGTGTGGGGCAAATCCTGTCAGACTGCAGAAGTTTTGCACCTATGAAGCCAGCCCTATCCAGCGGTTAGAAGCTCAAACTGTGGAGTCAGGTGTAACTGGCTCAATTCTGACTGAAAGACTACAGGCAAGCTGCAATTTATTCCGAAACTCACTTTGCTCGTCTATAGAATGGGAATAATGGAGCCTTCGTATAGGGTAGTTGTAATGAGATAATGTAGATAGTTTAAATATAAGTAGTGTGAGGACAGCAATTTTTTAAAGTCTTGTTCCTTGAGGTATCCCCAGGGCTTAGAACAGTGCCTGGAATACAGGAGTTGCTCAAAAACTATTTGCTTGAATAAATGCACCAGTGAATAAAATAATGAATGAATAAGAAAAATACTCCATATTAGTGGTCAGTAAGCTCTTTCTATAAAGGGCCAGAAAGTAAATATTTTAGGTTTTGTGCACAAAAATACAAAATTGAGGATATTCTGTAGGTACGTATACAATGAAAGGGAGTCTGTCAGTGGTGCAGTCAATGTGCTCGGCTGCTAACTGAAAGGTTGGAAGATTGAATTCACCCAGCGGCCCCCTCAGAAGAAAGGCTTGGCAATCTACTTCTGAAAAATCAACCACTGAAACCCCTATGGAGGACAGTTCTCCTGTGACGCACATGGGGTCACCATGAGTCAGAATCAACTTGACAGCAACTGGTTATATAGTAAGAGGAAACAAATATCTATAAAATTTGTATTAACAAAATTCAAAATGTAATCATAATGGTTGAATATTACTTATTTTGCAAAACAAGTCTTCTAATGAGAAGAATGGAATTCTTTATTTTTGGATAACATTTTCCTTAACTGACGTTCTAAGTTAGCATTCTCTTATCATCAAATCAACTGCAAATGTTTGTCTGTAAAAACTAATCTTCAACCATCAACACACAAACCCCAATAGATAAGCTAGATAACTAGGATCTTCTAAAAATCAAACACCTATGCTCTTCAAAAGACTTCACCAAAAGAGTAACAGAGAACCTACAGACTGGGAAAAAATTTTGGGACAGTACAAGTCAGACAACGGTCTAATCTCCATAATCTACAAGAAAATCCAACACCTCTGCAACAAAAAGACAAATAATCCTATTAAAAAATGGGCAAACGAAATGAACAGACACTTCACCAAAGAAGACATTCAAATGGCCAACAGACACATGAGGAAATGCTCG